TGTGAAATATGTTTGTAGGCTTCTCTGGGGGAAACTGACTTTTTTTGTGATTGTCAACTCTGCCAATGTTTCTCTATTCACTAAATTAACCCTCAATAAACTGAAAGAAAGTAGTTTTAGGAGCAAAAAGTTTACAAGCAAAACAAAGTAGACTATATTTTTTTGTGATTGTCAACTCTGCCAATGTTTCTCTATTCACTAAATTAACCCTCAATAAACTGAAAGAGTTTTAGTTTTAGGAGCAAAAAGTTTACAAGCAAAACAAAGTAGACTATATTTTTGATAAGAATACAAAAGTGATTTCTGTAGATATTTCCTGCAATTAGCTTTTCTTCCGACAAGACCATTTGGTTTAAAATCTTTTCTGCTTTGAACTCTTAGATAAAAAAATAATATATCAAAAGGATCTTTATAATGATTGGAATCGTTTGATCCAGCGGCAATCCAGAAAATTATATCCTCTACAGATAACTCATTTCAAAGACAAGGTTTGTTTTCTTGGTTGGCATTGTTCACATTGACATAGGATCATAGGATTACTTTCCTTTTTTTTCAAAATTTTTTACCGTATTGTTACTGAATAAAGACGTATCTACATCTGGTAACACTGGATCTGGTATTTTCTGTTCATTTATTACTCTTGATATTGATGCCCATAAAATCTAAAATCTGTGTAATTGTTACTATTTATTTTCTTCTTCAGAGCAAATATCTTTATCAATAGTTATCAAAAATCATAAGTTGAGGTTTGGGTTTTTGGTATTTTACTTGTTATTTTATTTTATTTTGGTATTTTATAAAATATGATCTTTTGTTTTGAATTTAAAGTTTATAAAAATTAAATTTATTTTTGGGATAAATTAAAAAAAAAAACACAATGTTTTGTTTACATATAATTAAATCATTTAAAATATTATAAAAATAACAATTAATAAAGTTATAAAAGACAATAAAAATTACTTTATTTTATAATAAGTATTGTTTTTATATGTATAGTTTAAATTAAGTTACACGTTGTATATGTTTTAGTTTAGGGTAGATTAGGGTAATATGAGCACCTTAGACAAAAATTAAAATATTTTCAAAAATAATTATGTTCGATCCAAAACTTTTGCGAATGAACAGTTTTTAGGGATTCCTACTCATGATTCACTTATATATTTTGGTACCCTAAATTTTTTCTTAAAAAAACAGATGTTTTAAAAAAGTAGCAAAAATGCTCATATTACCCAGACCACTTGGTTATATAAGCACTTTACATTAGCTCACAAAAATAACATTAAGTAAAAAAATACTAACCTGAAAATTAGATCTAATTTTAGAAAATAATGATTACTTATTTAATAAAACTTAAAATTAAATATCAATTTTTCGGCCATTTTTATTGAAACAACGCTAGTTTGTTTTCCGTAACAACAACAACAAAAAAAAGTTACTTTTTTCAATTTTATTAACTCAAACCTTTGAACAATTAAAATTCAAACTTTTTTTTATTTAAGTTACAGAAAAATAATTAGTATTGTTAAATTAATAAAAAATTTTATTATGTTTTGCTTTTTTTCAAAAAGCAAATAAAACCACTGGTATTTTAGGACTTTAAACTAGGTAATTTCAATGAATAATTTGAGCATATGTGCTCAAATTAATTAAGAAGACTATACTCATATTACACAAAAATGGCATCTTTAAATAAAGTTTAAACTAAACGCTTCTATGCATTGTTTTTCAAACAAAAAAGCATCCGAATTTTAGCTAATATAATTTTTGTAATAAAAATTGTTTTTTTAATTTTAGCACTAAAATTTCGCGCCATAGATTTATTCATGCTTGATGATATTATTTTAACAACGCAAAAAATTGAACAACCTTTCAACTAAATGATCGTTGCTAATTACTGCATATAAATTTACGCTAATTGTACTGATTCATAATATTACACATAAATCGATTCAAAAAAAAACAAAGCAAAAACTTTTATTTCACTGCTATAAGCAGTGAAGTTAAAGTTTTTGCTTTGTATACTTAAAGATTTGTATACTAAAAGATACTTAAAGACCTTAGTATACTTAAAGATTTCTAAGATGTATACATATTAGAAATCTTTAAGATTAATAAGAAATCTTTAGGTATACTTAATCTTTAAGATCAATAAGAAGTCTTTAGGTATACTAAGGTGCTTTTGCTATCAAAAAACTCTACCCTACATTATTTTTGAATAAAAGTATAGTTTATATTATTTTATTTAAAATATAGTTTTTAATGAAGTATATTTTATATAGGGTCGGACTGGGATTAAGAGGCCTGGGGGAATATAGATGCAAGGCCGCCTTATATATAAAAACTATCCTATATTACATTATAAGGACCTTTTAGCAAACATAGCAGTGGCCCGGCGGGTAAAACACCCAACCCCCGTTGCCAGTTCGACACTGAATTTGTATAAAGTATAGCTCAATATTTATTTTTTCAGGTAACATTTATTGATACAGCAAATATTCACAAAAAATATTGAAGGGCTATTTACATCTCCGACTGTATTTACAACTTGGTCATTCATTATTCCGGAAAAAATAAATCCCGGCCTTGATCTGAAAGAATTGGAAAGAATTGAACTAAAATTTTCTGGTAGCTTTATTACGACTGATTATAACAAAGAAATTACTCAATGCAAATTGAAAGATGAAGATGAAAAAACGCAACAAAAAAACAAAATAAAAAGAAAGAATAAAAAAATAAAGACAAAACAAATAGTACAACAGAAAAAAACACATAACAATCCTAAAACAAAATAAAAACTTCAAACTATGTATTAATATCGTTAAAAATAAATTGAATTTGCAACGCAAAGTTTTTTGTTGATGTTGTTGTTTTTTTATTATAAACTTTTAAAGTTTATAAGCTTTTTGAAAACTTTTGAGAGCAAAAGTCTCTGAGAAACTCAAACACTTTTCAGACAGTCACAGACACTGAATGTCGCTTATTCTGTTTATTTTCACTTTGTATAATAGGTGCACATAAAATATTTTTTTAGATACTTGTCGTTCAGCGATGGCGGTACTTCGACTATGTCTTACATTAATATGCAGTAATTGCGCTGATCTTTCATGCATTGTAAAATACACTTCCGCATTATTTCCGTATTGAAAGTTTTTAGTAATTATACAAAACTCATATAAATTATTTCCCTAAGCACCTCAACCTTTAAATAAAAAAAATTATACAAGATCTATTATTCCATGCAAAATAAATATTTACTTTATGCAGAATAAAAATCAAAATTGTTAAATTATTGCTGGGATCGCTTTTCTGAGACATTTGTAGGTGAGACATTTGAACTAAAGTTTATTTTCGAAACCACAATTTTTGAAAATTTTTGATTAATACGATATTGATAAAAATAAAATTTCGATATTGATAAAAAAAACTTTTTTTCAGATTAAGTAAAAAGTTTCGAAAACCATCGAATAGCTAAAAAAATTTCAAAAACTTGAATTTAATTTTGAAAACTAGTTTTAATTTCAAAAACAAAAAATATACTAAATTAATTTTAAAATTTAAGTTAATTTTTGAAAAGTTAAATAACATTCGAAAATAAAAAATGACTTTGAAAAAGTTAAATTAATTTCGAAGAAAAACAACCTATTTCGACTAGCGAAATTAATTTCGAAAAAAAAACAAAAAAACAGTTTGACAAAAGAAATATAATTATGAAAAAAAAAAGAACTTCGATAAGTTAGTTTCCATAAAAAAGGTTTCCGATAACCGGAAATTTTTTTGTAAAAAAAAAAATGAGTTTTAAAGAGTGGTATATCTATTTGCTCACTAAGTGAACGCGGACGTTTTAATCGTGCGGACGCATACAAAGTCATGCAATGTTCGACTGTTGGGGAGTACATGCAGGGAATTATTTGAAACCCAACTAAATTTTAGCATTCTGTTTTTTTCTTTACCCTCAAAATTTATTTTATTCTTAAAAATAGTTTTAAAACAAGAACAGCTAAAACAGTTGGTTTAACAAAACAATGGCCTCAGGTTAAATTAGGATAAGAACCCTTACTTCCTTTAAGTAAAAAATTAATTTTAAATGTAAATATTTAATATATTCACAATTGAAATTAAATTAACAAAATAATAAAATTAATCACAGTGAGTCATAAAGACCGTCAGGTTCGAAATCTCACCACCTCAGATTTTTTTTTTTTTTCAAGTAACCTTAGTTTGTAAAAGTGTTTTTCAAGTGCAAAGCAAATCTAAACTCGATCAGAAGAGTTGGTATTTTAAGTTTAAAAAAAGTAAAAAAGACTAAAATTTTAGCAATTAAAACGATATAATCAACCATTTTCGGCTTCTTTTTAAAAAATAATTTTTAACTGATAAGATAATAATTGGAGAAAAACCCACAGTGCGGTAAAAATGGGGTAGGTACAATTGGCAGAGCAGAGCAGATTGGCAGAGCAGATCATTGAAATATTAATAACGGCAGAGCACGTTATTTAATCAGCCGTTTCCTAATGTGTGATCTGCCAAATATTTCGGCAGATCATTTAATAGAATTTTTATAATGTGATTGCCAAATATTTTTATGAAAAACGATGCACTTCGAATAGAAAGAACTATGAGTTGACTTTTTAAACATAAACGTTTTTTGTTGTCGCAATACTTTTACAAAAAAAAGTGATCTGTCGTATTCTAATGTGTGATCTGCCAAATATTTCGGCAGATCATAATGCAACCGGCAGAGCACAATGGCAGAGCAGATCATTGTAATAATAATAACGGCAGAGCAGATTATCACAGACAGACAATCAGCCGTTTTTTATTTTGTGATCTGCAAAATTATATTTTAATAATGCGTGATCTGCCAAATAATATTTGGCAGATCACACATTAGAAAACGGCTGATTGGATAATCTGCTCTGCCGCTATCAACATTACAATAATCTGCACTGCCAATCTGCTCTGCTCTGCCGATTGTACCTACCCGTAACAATGGCGGATTTGAAGCAGTCTGTTTGTGTAGTTTGTTTGGAATAAAAAGGCGAATATTCAAAATTGTTATCAAAAGTACAACCATTTATAGCAAATAAGATCAAAGAGTATATTTGGTCTGAGTACAATAAAGATTTCATTGTTTGCCCTGACGTAATATGTTAAAATTGTAGAAGAAACATATTTTTGCTGGAGAAGGGATCAAGTACTTATCTATCAAACTGGATGAATAAAGTATCTCAAGTACAGATTTTATTAAATTCGAATGATTAATACATAAATTATTAAAAAATAATTTTTTATAAAGTATATGTTTCTGAATTAGATTGACAGGCCAAGAATAAGACGCAGTACTGAACTTAGTGATATTGTTCAACCATTTTGTGGTAAAACACTAGCTGTAGGATCTCCAAAGGAAAATATATGTAGTTGCTGCTTTTCTCTCCTTGCAAGAGGTTTACAAATAAATATTAAATTATTTGATTAATAAATAAAAAGCTGTCAAATATTTATGTATACATAAATATTTAATTATAATTATGTAAATTGTAAACAACATGTAGAATTATACATAATTGTTTTTTTTTAATTATAATTTATATAACTTCAATAAAAAAAACCTTATTTTTAAGCTTAATAAGTTTATATAAATTTTATATTTAATTTTATTCTTCAGGAGGTCATAGCAATTGTAGTTCTGGTCATATATTATAAAACTTAAAGGCACACAAAAACAGATATGAGCCATATAATTTAACAATTATTTTGATTGCTATTTTTTTTGAAATATTTGTGTTTTAACTTTAGTTATGGTAAAAAAATATATTTAATTTAGTTATACTTTATTTTTAAGGTGGGAATCCATTAACTTTAACCGTTGGAACTAAAAAAAATAAATCTTCCAGAAAGTCTTTCAATCAGATATCATTCCAAACAGTTATGGAGTTAACTTCTATACTGGAACAAAAAATCAAACAAATCAAGTATGCGTAAGAATCTAGGGTCGTCTACTGTTGTTGAGAACAATGTAGTTAGCATGATGACATCATTGCAACAAGAAGTTGAGTCTGAGTATAAAATAGAGCAAGATGATTTTATTTGGAATGATGAAACTGTAACAAGAGATATAGTATTTATTCATGACACTTCATCTTCTCATTCTGGTAAATATGCCTGCTTATGGTGTGCAGCTGAATGTACCCTAGAAAGTAGTATTCCAAGAACGTTAGGGTCTCTTGATCTTTGGTATAAGTTATTTGTTAAAAATGGGGCAAAGCCATTGCAGATGGCTTTTAAGATTTTAAAGATGTGATTAGTCCTCGTTTTGTTTATTTTGATAAAAATCCTGAAGTTGAAATTATTCACTTAATTCCACCACCAGAATTACATCTTCTTATGGGGGTTGTGACACTACTTAGTAGACTACTTTTAGATCATTGGCCTCTGTTTACGCAAAAATACATTTAAATGCAGAGCTGAATGTTACTTGGAAAGTACATATAGTGGTTTGTCATATTCTCCAATTTGTGAAATTTAACTATTGTTCTCTTGGGTCATATGCTGAACAGACTGGAGAGGCTGTTCACAGTGCCTTTAAACCAAGTTGGTCTCAATATAAACGAAGGATTGGGCATTTAGATTATGGTAAACGATTAAAATCTGCCACTGCCACTTTTTGCATAGAAAAGATGTAAATATTTCAATATATAAGTAGTTGTGTTAATATATTTATTGCATTCACTGTTTTTTCCTTCTTATTTTTATCTTTGTATTATTACTATAAGGGACTCTAATGATTTAAGTTTGAAGTTATAGGTTATACCATAATACTTTAAAGAGGATAATAAAGGATATTGATTTTTAAAATAATAATAGAAGGGGTTACTTTTATAGGGGGTAAGTTTATCGCTTTAAGGGGGTAAATAGGGTTAAAAAAAGATTTTTTTTTGGTACTTCTGATCTACTTTAGATTTATCCAATACACAAAAATAACATATTTTAGCAGCATTTATTTTGATATAAAAAAAAATTAGAGGTGGAGAGAAGTTCAATCTGGCGGTCTTTATGGCACACAGTGTAATAAAAGTTTTTTATAAATGAAAATTACTGGCTAAAGTAAGTCATAAAAAGTTATTCAGATGTTACTAATATAAATAACTTTTATTTTTTATCTTATTTACATCTTATCTTTTTATATCATTTGCAGGGCTGTCCCGAAGAGTTTTTAAAGGAAGGGGTGGGACATGTTTGTTTTTTGAGACTAAAGCCAAAAAAAATTTTTTTGAATACCGACTTAAAAAAAGCGTGCGACAGTGACATACCCCCATTCAAAAAATTAGTCGGTAAATTAGGACCTTTTTTAAATCTTTTCATTGGTCAAAATCAGACTTAGATTTTACCACACGTCCACAAATTAGGAAATTAGAGAACTTGTTTTTTTGTGCGAGTTTTTTTATAAAAGTTTCACATGGGTTTCAGTTTTATTTTGTAAAAATTTTAGTATTATCCTCAAAATACTATAAGCGTTTCAACTCCGCTTTATACAACTTTTATCGTTATTACAAAAATGGTCTGTTTGCGGGTTGTTTTAAATAATAAAGAGTAAGAAAACATCTCAATTTGATTTGTAATATTAAAGGTAAGTTTCTAAATTTCATTTACGCACAACATTTATTTTGCTTCAAAAGTTCACTTTAACTGCGCTCGCAGTAAAAATAAGTTTTTTATTGCCAAAAACTGCCTACATAAAACTGCTGTACATTATTTTCCATATGTATTTAACTTGTTTTCAGTTTTCTTGTTTTTCAGAAAATACATTTACATTAGAGGTTATGTTGAAAACTTCATTTTAATTTCTCTTTTTTATTTCAAATATAAAAACTCAATTTGTTATCAACAATTTTTTTTTTCTTTAATAGAAACCTAGAACACAGCGATATCAGTAAAAAAATAAAAAATTATGTGTTAAGTTTTGCTCGTTTTATCTGTGTTTTTTTTCAAAACAGTTTTTTTTAAAAAAACAACAATTATATTTGGAACTAAAATATGTTAAGTAATTGGTATATATATACAGATACACACACACACACACACACACACACACACACACACACACACACACACACACACACACAGAGACACGCACACACACACACACATTTACCACGTCAAAAAAAAAGCGCCTTTCGCCATGTTGTAAGTAAGGCAACTACACCCACAAGGCAAATAAAAAAAAGGAGGGGAGATGAAACAAGGATGGATTCGGACCATGAAGTAAAGGTGGAAGGTAGCAATTTTTTTGATTTCGACTATCCAGACCACCGATTTACAGGTTTAATGATTTTTTAAGCAGGCAATCGCAAAAAATAGAATTTGCACTACACAATTTTATTCAATTTTCATGCTACTTTGAAACAGCCTCCTAAATTTACGTTTTTAAATAGTGTGCTCAATATCTAAAAAAAAAAAACATCTTAGGAAGAGGAGGGGGGGGGAGCAACAACTACTCCAATAGTCTGAATTATCTAATTGCCCTGGGGGATGGCATGATTCTAGGTTATTTTTTAATTTTACTTAATGTGTAAATAATGAATTTGAGCTAATTCATCAGTTATCTAAATAACAATGGTTTTAAAATAAAAATAAAAGTAAAAAACTAGTGTAGCATATTTAGCCATATAATGACTTGTTTCTTATCTAAATCTGGTCTGTCAAAATATCAAAAAATATTTTGTTTTAAAAAATGTTAAAACTTATGAAACAAATTTATACTCTACAAAAATATTATATTTTCTCCACTGCCTATTTATTTTTAGAATATTTAGTACAATAATAACTAGCTAGTCTGAAAATTTAGATTCCTTTTTCAAATAATTTTGACATAACGTGAATCAACACTTTGGGAAGCTTTTGAAGTTTGAGGTGAGCAAATTTTTCCAGGAGCAGTTATCTTAGAAGATCAAGGCTATCCCTGTAATAATTGGCTCATAACGCCTTACAGTGACAACCAAACAGCTTTCAAGCGTCGATGCACATCGAAAAACTAGAAATGTGATAGAGCGATGTTTTGGGATTTTGAAACACAGGTTTTACTCTCCACAAGTTCCAATTCGATTTCGTAAAGTGGAAAATGCGGCAAAACTAATCGTATGTGCTTGTATGATTCACAACATGTGCATTAAAATGGGAGATGAGGAGAAATTCTTCCAGTAATACCTTCCACAGCCTTGTCCTTTCAAGCTAAAGACAACACTAAACATGAAGTTCAAACAGGTGCACACCGCAATCAAATTTCGCAGTTGTTCAACTAATATAAATTAAAAAAATGTATTTCAGTCAGACTAAAATTTTGTGTTTTTTCCTAGTTTATTATTTTCTGCTTCTTCCAAATAAGTTTTGAATAGTTTGTTTGAAATGAAAAAAAAAATTTTGTGTTTACTTATATTGTACTGTTTAGATAAATGAGATATGTCGGAATTAAAGGATGTTGATATTTGGATAAATGATATTAACTTATATTGAAATCAATATAAAATATTCTCTAACCATTAGCAGCTCTGTAATTTTGCATATTTATTTAATGTTAAATTAACTCATAAAATTTTATAATAAAATATAAAAAATTTTCAAGCAATTTTGCCAATTTTGTAATTAAACTTTCGAATAAAGAAAACGTTTCTAAACTTCGATTTTTTTTTTTAATAACTATATTTTATCTATGGTTCTGACTGAAAAAGAATATTCGGCTCGAATGTTTCAACATTTTAAGGCATTAGAGACTGGATCTGAGTAAACAATGGTGTTAAAAATCAAATTTTACTTTAATTTAAATCATACTTAACTAACAGAAAGCAATTTATTCTTAAAGAATCAAAACACTCAAAAAACAACTTAATAACTTGTGGAGTACCCCAAGGTTCTATTTTAGAACCATTATTGTTCTTACTTCTTACTCTATATAAATGACTTATATTTATCATTAAAAGTATTAAATACTATCTTATTTGCAGATGACACTAATTTGTTTTATTCTCACAAAGATATAACTGTTTTTTTTTAAATATTTAACGAAGAATTAGATAAGATCAACGAGAGGTTTATAAGTAACCGACTATCATTAAATGTAGAAAAAACAAAATTTATTCTATTCCATAAACCTAGTAAAGCTAAGAATATTCCTCTTAAACTACCCAATCTTTTAATCAATAATAAAATAATTAAAAGGGAATTGACTATAAATTTTCTAAGAGTGCTCTTAGATAAAAAATTGTCATGGAAATTTCATATTAAATATTTTGAAGATAAGATCTCAAAAAATATTGCCATGTTATACCGAACAAAACTTTTTCTTAATAACGAGTTTTTAAAAAAGTTATATTTTTCGTTTATACACAGCTATCTTTCATACTGTAACATTTCCTGGGGTAGCACTAATCACACTAAACTTAAAAAAATTTATAATAAATAAAAACATGCTTGCAGGATAGTATTTGTGGCAAATAGAAAAACACAACGCGAACATCTCTTACGTCAGTTTCGAGCTTTAAATATATATAAACTTAATATTCATCAAGTAATGTTATTTATGTTTAAAGCAAAACTTGGGTTTTCTGCAGTAACATTTCAATCCTACTTTAATGAAATCTCCCATAAATATCCAACCAAATTTTCAGTGAATAACTTTGTGGTTTCCATAAACCTTCTT